CACATTATTCACAGTCGCGGTTTGAAGTAAGATGAAACCACATCGAGGTCAGATGAAATGAAAACGAGGGATGAAGAAATGTACAGAGCGATTAGGTAGAATAGGTGTCTCCCGTCTTCTAGGTTAGAGTCCAAATGGCTGTAACTGGCTGGTTGGGGACACTGAAGGATATGGCAACTAGCCCACAGCGTTCTTGGTGTCATTTCTCGTCAGGTCAGACTGCTTTGAAAGGTATGCAGAACACTTAAATTATGTACTGTGTGTCGACCAAAGCCGTTCACTTCTTTTGCCCCTCCAATTAGGCCCAACCCCCTTAATTTGTGTACATTGTGAGCTCGGCATTGCTCAGCGAAGTTCGCTTCACTGTATATCGCTGCACGATGATGATGATTATCCAATGGACTACCGCGATTACCCAAAACTCTGCGCCTAACCTCAGCATTGCTTATCCGGTTTCCCCACGGGACTATGCAGCGTAGAAAGCGATGTTCGAACATCGACTGTATTTTTATCCTGTTCCCATAAAGGCCAAGTCCCTGCACCGCAAAAAACTGACCGAACTGCTTCAGCATACACTGTAGCAAGTGGTGGATCTCCATATATTACGTGTTGCGCGTATCACGGTGCGCGAAGTTTGCTGGATGGCAAAAGTTAAAGATGGTCAAACTAAGACCTGGCATGTGAGTGCGAAATTTGGCTGTATAGGTCGCGTTCAACATTCTGGATGAGGACCTTGAATTTATTGAACCGATGGTTAGAGACGTTGAGTGGTATGGCTGAGTGGCGCTCATGCATCTACTCGTGATCGTTGCATCAAATAATGAAACCTCTATAACTCCTCCATCTTCTCTCTAAATTTCAATCTATCTTCGGTTCTTCATTCAAATGGACAGACTTAAGACAACAATTAAAACCGCTGTACAATGGTGCATAGTCAATGGCCGTAGAAACTGAACTACAGCACCAAACTTTCTATTTCTCGCCTTAACCTAAACTGACAGCCAAAAGACAGCAACCAAAAACGACGTATTTTTGGTCAAAATTTGATGTTAAACTAGAACCAATCGTAGTCAATGGACTACCGCAATCCGTGACATTCATGAAGCCTACGGGACAACTACTTCACTCTGCAACTTGTTCACTAGTTATATTTGTCATCTATTGTTCTCAAAGTAAGTTTCTTTATCCTGGAATCACAACAGCAAAGGTGCGATGATGTAGACGAGAGTTGTGGATGCAGAATACGCGTCCTAAACAGCGAATCCCATGAAACCGAATTTGATGATTGTGAGTTACTAATCGAATCCTTCAGTAAGGTTGCCTGAGTTGGGGTAAGCCCCTCGCCACACCCTATGGCGAGCTTTTTATGGCGAACGAGTTCAGTTTGTACAACCATTAACCATGCACTATCGTGCGCCGGTTTCGGTTGCTGTCTTTTGGCTGAACTTAAGGAGAAAGACAGGAGAGGTAGGATCAAGGATTTCAGTGGACTAATGTTGCAGAGGAATTGACAAGATGCACGAAAGCCACTGTTTACGACACCCAGCCATATCACTGTCCCTAATCATCAGTCAAGACCATCTCGAGTTCCCCAGCCAGGGACCAATGTGACCCAGACTCTTGTTTAGGGTTTTCATACCCTCATGCCAGATCTTAGGTTGACCACCCTTGACCTTTTTCCACTCACTACCTGCCTCGGCGAACATTGCTCGTCGTGGCAACCTATCTGGTGATATGCGTAAAACATGCCCCAACCAACGTAATCTATGGAGGTCGATCATTTGCTCCAGCGGGCGACCGCATTTACCTAAAACTGTGCACCTACCCCCAGCATTGCTCGACCGGCTGCCCCACCTAATTCGTGCAATGCTGCGCAGACAGCGGTGTTCGAACAAAATACTTCCATTTTTCTGTTCCTGATGGAATAAATGAAACGACAATACACGCCGGGAAGACATGCCTGATTGTTCAATATATATATACAAGATGATGATGCTTACGATCAAATATAAAAACATCAGTTAAGCACTCAGATAATTTAAGACTATGCACAGCTGAATGGACGCATTCGTTTAAAACCCACAGGACAATCCAACGGACGGAGGCTGACACTTACATTCGATCTACACTATGGACGGGAATTAACACTCTGTAGACACAGTCTAGTATTTAGAATATTAAAACTAAGTGAAATCTTGACATCTAGAAAACACCAATATCGGTGGTGTCCACTGTTGTCAGAAATGATATAGAAGGGGGAAAAGTTGAAGGGCACTATTGATAATGCCCAACGAGATTTGGCCTTAAGTCTTTCATGTACATGGTAATCCGATAGTTACCCTCTGACAGTAAAAAATAAACTGTAAGCGGTAAACAAGATAAATATTAAAAACTCTGAACTGAGCCATGAGCCGACACAATAATAAGCAAGGATACAGAAAATAATGCACCAAGTTAAAAACCCTGTGATATAGTCCACGAAAAAGCCTACAGTGCTCCTTCCAGAGATAAAATGGTAAAGTGGACTGAACTGCGATGAAACTCACGTGCACGGAGACATCCACGGATAGAGCAAGAAAAACAGACGAATGAAGAATAAATCATTACTTCTTGAACAGAATCATTCAGCACAATGACTCGAGCATCATCCACTGACGTACAGCAGAGAAATATTGTCCAAGGCTCGAAGAACGTCAAGTAGAATCCAGTCTCGAGTGAGATGCTGAAAACAATCACACTGATAACGGGGCAGCGAGATACTGACACGTCAGTCGTGAAGACAGGGGCCGTACAACACTGCGGCCATGTGTATGAAGATTGAGGGATAGGGGCTTTCCATTTAGGTATATACAGAGGAATAACATATTTATAGATATATATGTATATGTATGTATGTATGTATGTATATGTGCATGTAGTTCGATTGCGGGCCAGTCACAACAGGGTTTGCTGTGTGTACGACGAATTGATGTACCTTGACGAGCAACGAACCATTTTGCAATCACAGCTAACAACAATATTGCTGCCCTTACAAGGTTGGAAAAAAACAAAATGCTAGAAAAACCTAGGGCACGACTGTCATGCGCTTTGAGCACAGACCAGTTGAGGGGAGGGGGAAGAACGCTTTGTGCATGCACTGATGAGTACTGACCGTGGGTCCTGCATTAAAAAAGCTATACAGGAAGCGTGTGTACAGATCAGAGGATGTGACAATTACAAAGCCGCTGCCTAATTGCACGTGACTGGAAAGAGCTGCAAAACAGAAACAAGATGGACGAGTGATGCGTAGTTTAGATGGAGAAGAGTAAAGTTTTACTGTGGTAGAAAAACCTAACAGACACGCTTTACCATGAAAGACTAAGCCAGCCCAACGCCCAGAATAACATGCGACATCTAAAGGGGTAAGAACTTCGAGCTATGGATGAATGATACAGGGCTCAAATACTTCAGGAAATAAAGTCAAGCAGTTTCACGCAAAAGCAGACAGCTCTTGCAAAAGGCGATTAATGATCTCCAAGAAAGGACCACATGAAAATGCAAAATACAGCGAAATCACAGCTTTCCGTTCATCTACCAACGTTGAGAAGTTTTGGGGCAGTTAAAATGGAATGGGAGTGAGTAAAACATTAGCATTATGTCAGCACAAATAAGGAAAAACGGCCGGTGCTGACAGACCTGGGTGCATACCCATAACTGACAAAGAAATGGACATTAGATGCGCGGCATCCAGGCGTCCAGAGATCGAAGTTTCACAAACGCAGTTACCAAGACGATAAATCAACAGCATAAAGTAACACGGGGGGGGTTGGTGTTTTCACTGAGATTTGAAACATGGGATGAAATGGACTACATGGGCAACGAGAAATTATCAACGATGTACCTTACTTTGAATCCGTGTATCCGTGAATGCACACAACATAGGAAAACTCCCAGGCTAATGAAGGATGAGGTGAGACATGAGGCTTTTTCTTGGCACAATAAATGACTGAAAGCTGCCGGAGTTCTGATCTGAAGCACTGACTATGATGCACGTAATTGAAAGGAACGTTGAATAAAACGAACAACAAACACTCGATGGAGACGGGCAACGAGAGATGTGGCGGCGGGAACAGCAAAGAATCGTCAGAAAGCTCTACAAATCTTGCTGGTGTAGGTAGTCCTAGAGTGAGATCCATCCGGGGTACAGTAGACGATCGGAGTCTCCTCCGGCGAAGCCGCACCACTGGATGTAATGGTGATTTCTTCAAAGCCTGAGTCAGAGCTATTGGCATCGAATGCATCCAAACCGGTAGGCGAACGCGTCGATCCCAATGGCGAAGCTAGATTTTTCACATGTTTGAACGCATTGAACACGTACGTTTGCCCATTCACTGGGCTATCAGATATGATAGTATTGCCAATAATGTGGTGAGGACTCGATGGTCCAAAAGATGCGGTTAGTTCAGAACGAACACCTGAGCGAAGATGAGCATCCATTTCGGAATCATCTGAAAAAGCAAAGCATGTAATAAAAAAACGAAGTCGTACCAGAAGAAGTTGTATTGATGGAACACTCTGAGCAGTTGCGATTTCTTTCTCTCCAGCTTTGAAGCTTCAGTGAACGATTGCGCTTTTCTTCCAACTTTTTCCGAAGTGTTTGCCGTCTCTTGTGTAGTTGGACGGATCGTTGTTTTTCACTATCCTCACAACTTTCCAAGCACTGATTCTTTTGCCTCAAGTACTGCAAGTAAAATTACACATTGCGGATATAACAAGTTACCTGGATGGTAGCCGTAGCCTTTTTGAGCACGGTAAGCATAGTGATACGCGGTACGTCATTATCAAAGTTAAGATGCTCTTTCAGTGTTTCCATGCATGCACGTAAATGAGCACGACTACACACCAAGGGCATTAAAAAAGTAGAACATTACATACCGGCTCTTTTCCAATTCGTTGTGAGTGCATCTTATATTCGGTAACGGGCGTTTAGGTCCGTTATATGGATAGTTCGATGAAGAACTAGGATATTTACTGTCGTAAATATTCCTGTGAACCGTTCTTTGTTCCCATCTATCCGTACTTAAAACTCTCTGAGGTGAATCTAAAAAGTTATGCCACGAATAAATCAGGTGTAATTATTGGAAAAATATTCACCAGAACGCGAAACAAACAAAAACATCTGGTGAAATTATGTTACACTTACCTTCCTCATCAAGCTTCTTTGCTGCTTGTAACAAAAGTAACAGTCCATTTTTGGGTTGTTGGGACAAAGACATAACACGCCAAATAACAAGGGGATAACCGATACGGTTGTGGCGAATTAAGTCAAACACGCGCTACACGGCTTTTATAGCTCGACCTTCGTTGTGATTGGTTGATAGATCCTATGGCAGGTGGTCGATATCTCTCCATCCAGTCCACGCACTCAAGCCGATCAGGTCACAGGCCCTAATGGACCAATCAGCACGCTGCGTCACGTTGGTGAACGGCCTATGGTTGATTTGCAGCGGGCAGACAGTCCAATGGCTATGACCCCCTTCACGGACGCGAAAGGAAGGATGACACGCGGCAAATCACATGATTGCCGCGAGTGAAGCGATGGTCACTTTAGTTTCGTTGCCATCGCACCGAGGGTCCGAGCTGTTATTGGTGCACTGCAGCCGTAATTTAAGTGGTAATTTTTTACTCTCACATGTGTCTATGTAACGAAACAAACAGTTTGCATTTAACACTGGTGATAACCATTAAAAGCACACGGTATTTATACTTGGTTGATGTTTATGACCAAATTCTAATGTATTTCTCGCTGTAATGTTTGTCGTAACACCCCACAAGTCGGTGTAGATATTATTTGTATTACTTTTTATCGTGCACCTTCTTGAGTTGAGAATCTTTGGTCTCAAGAGATGGAGAAAATTGATGGGCTATAAACCACATTACAAAAGTATGGTTTGGCTGTGTATCGTGAACTCAGGTCAGTGTTTATAACTGCAAACCCTAGAGCATCCTCGGCATTCGTCCCTTCACGAACGGTCATTCGCTCACTACTTGTTCAAGCAGCTCAATAAAGTACTGCTTTTGAACCCGATATTGATGTGATCCATAAGAGATGCATATAAAATCATGTTAACAGTGGGTCGGACTCATGGATCTCTTTAAAAAGGCATGAACCTACACTATGTAGGCAGCAAAATTACGCTTGAGAAAGTTTTCATGAAGTTTGTGTATCATAAGATCGGGTCCATGACTCATCTCTGTTTGCTTATTGAAAGAAATAATCATGTGCTTCAAAACATGATACATTTAGGATTGTGATTGTTACAAGCAAGAAAGTGATCGATTTGTTCCATTAACACCAGAAAATTTACACCCCTACAACATCAGAGGAGCAGCCTCATGTGAGCCGTGCTTATTAAAAAAACACGCCAAGTATACAGCCCCTAAGGAGCATACATTGCATATCAGAGAAGTTTGCATAAAATGCGCGGCAAACTATGGAAGCCTGAGATCATCACTGCGTATTCGTACACTAAGTAAAATAGATGCTTCACTTATTTCCAATAACCGGTGTGCTACCACAGTGGTTTTTCTAACGAATTAGGCATAAAAATAACCATGTGCACGATATGGTCTGAACCGTTGACTACGATTTACCTGCGTGATCACATCACTGAAAGCGTTGCAAACTAAGGTGGACTCCGTGTATAGAATAAGGTAACCAGGGTCCTCAGGAGATCGTTTTTTTTCATTATTTCAACCTCCATTGCCTTTTTGTAGTATATCTAAATATTTACACAATACATGTACATCGTACAAAGAATAATAATAATAATTGCTGTCAATTTCCTTGTGATTTTTTTTACTCTACGCGACGATTTTAATCCAAGCCAATGCAAGAGAATGTTATTTTTTGTGATATCGACTTGTCCTTTCTTGGATGCCTGGTTCGGACACCGTGCTGACAATTCGAATTCCTCAAATACTGAGAACTCGTGGTAACATGACAATCCCCAAAAACACGACTACCTCCTGTTCCGTCATCTTTTATTTTTTTTAGCCTCCTTATGGAACATGTACTCATACAAGCGATATTCAGGAAGGGATAAGCGGCTAATCAAAGGGTCTCGATAAATATAATATGGGGAGATGAGTTGGTGACGTAAACCGATTGGCCGCCACCACCCATCATCGTTCAAATCCAGTACTCTCCATGATTCATTCCTTAAACTTAATTGAACAGAAGGTAACTGACATCAGTAATAACGACAATTCTATCTTCTATTTCATCATGGCTATATGTTCTCCTCAATTTCAGTAACATAGGTAGTTCTGTAGTAACAGTCGAGGTCATCGTCTCTGTTGAATCACCTTCCCTAACTTCGAATGTGCTCAAAAAACTGAGGTAACTGAAGCGCTTATTAAAAAATACTTGTCTAATGACAGCCTTCAGTCACTCCGACCTAAGCATTGCTTCATCGCAAGTACAACATGAGTGGAACCCGAGACAATTGGAGTGGGGTTCACACTGTACCGTCCCGCCTTTTTAGCAATCGAAAATCCACAGAGTTTATAGCATTCATCGCGTGTGATCGGTTCTCGTGATTTTTGTTCACTATCTGGAATTCATTCTCAAGAAAAGTATCCTGAACATGGGAAGCTGAAACGGAATAGAGGCCGATCTAATGTTAAATCACGGTAAACCAGTATGTCTATGATGATTAAATGAAACTGGATGAAATTAATGCTAGTAAGCCTTATTGAAACAGCACAAACAAGTGACTCACAGGATACGATCGATTACAAATTGCAAAATATTCCCATAGACAACGTAGAAATCGGTATTCGCGAAGAAATTTCTTTTCGATATATCGCATCAGGGTTTTACATATATAAGGTGATCATAGCACAGGTATCTGATTGGCTGATATTAGCTCAATTAGTAACAATGACACAAGCAAGCAAACGAATATGACAAGGCTAGTGATAATCATAGTGGGGGTGAGAGGACAAAGGTCAAATGGAAAACGTTAGAGAGATGGCCAGATTAAAATGAAGTTTGCGAGCTAAGACAAGAGAACGGAATGAAGTTACGTTAGATACAGTAGAAACTATATGTCATTGCATAGCAAGTGATATAATCATGATCATGATCATCATGATCATCATATATATATATATATATATATATATATATAAACTCCTGATGCGATATATCGAAAAATGTCTTGTATATACCTGTGGTACATCGTTTTATGGCATTGCTAGTAGTTTGACTGGAGCTGAATCTTATTATGACTTAACTCTAAATATTAGCATCAATACGACAGAGCGTGGTGCACCTAATATGTGAAGAATAGTTCCGTCAACGTGAGGCATATGTGTGCACCCCGACACAACCGGTTGCGTGCATCATGAGGTTGAAGCACACAAATGCACTTCGCATTCAGAGTCTCGCTGTGAATTTCGATCTAGCGAGCAACCGACATCCAGTGCCAACGCCATTACCTTCGCCCAGCAGTAGCGCCAATGGCGAAGTAGCTGTTGGAGACGATCATCAATGTATGTATGCATGTGCGTAAACCCGTTTAGCTACAGCTGTATGTAGAATTATAGGGGGTGTGCACAGCGTGACCTTGAGATTCGTCACATCACATGTTTGGTCGTTTTTACCGAGCCATCTGGAGTCGGTTATCCAGTGGGCACTGCACAAGGAGCGAAAGAGTTACTTCTGAAGGCAATTGTATATCGGATGAAATAGTACGAAATAGTAAATTCCCAGAAGTTGGAAGTCTCGCAAAGGCATCCAAGTGAGATGAAAGAATGGCGGGGGATGAAAATCAGATTGTTTTAAGCCAGAGGTTGAGTACCCGGCAAGATTCTTTTTTATAAGTTTATCAATGTTACTTTCATCCGATTTCCACCCATTCTGGTTAGTATTTCCTCAGTGTCCTCATCCTTCTCCTTAACTCACTTTTACAAGCTAGGTCGAACGATATGAGCTGATGATATTACTGATGCACATGTGCATTACACTTGAGATTTTCTCATTTATATTAGTTATACTTCTTTTAATTGAATGGACAAGTGTGCCATCCGTTTTCAGGAATGAGTTAGGACAAACAAAAGGTATATCGTTGATACAATGATAGACAGAAGTTGGGTGACGCTGGTGACGTGATGACGACTTACTGTACTTGACCATGGATGTGTAAAGAATGATATAAAGAACACGTGGTTTACTACCGAAATAAGCGATTGTGTTGATAATCACTGGTAAATATGCCATGGTTCTTACGAGAAAATGATTACAGCAATCCCGAAAACTGGAAATGAGCCACATGCACTGTGAACTATGCGGAAAGCCGATCAACAACAGTATTATTTTCAGTATTGGTTTTTGTAAGAGCGTTGCGGCAACTTTTTTCATCCGATTTACCCATTTCTTTTGAATGGACAAAGGAGATGAAGACCTCCCGAGGTTCAGGTTCGAATACTAAACGGCCAGTGTTTCTTATATTTATCACCAATGGGGTTACTTACTTAATCATAGTTCCCCTGTCGAAGTGAAGTGGTTCGTCCCGTTTCCCAACCCCGGTAACAGACACCGGGATCTGCTAGCGAAAAGCAGGCAGCAAAACATGTGAATATGATAAACACTTCATTAATGCACGTGATCGACTGCTTGCCAACGTTCTTCCAACAGTCGACATGAGTTCATTTTAACACTGATGGTTTTACTGTTGTGTGAGAATGATGGAGGATTTGATTTATTTAAAGGTGATGTGCAAATGGGGTATGAGCTGAAGCACTGAACAGCTGTTTAAACCTGGTTAAGTCTCATCATCCATCGATCTAACTGGGGATCAAATCTGGGACATCACAGGTAGAAAGCAAGAATTTGAACAGATCGTTTTTACATTTTCTTCATACCCGATATAGCACAACCCATTTTTGCGAGCTTGTTGCGGGTATCGCACCTCGCTTATCTCAGCACTACCCACCAGGGTTATGATTCGTTTGGAAACTTTCGTAACTTTGTTATATCAGCCGCCCGGTGGTCGAGTGGATAGTATGCTTGCGTTCGACTTGTGAGGTCGCGAATTCGATCCCCAACTGGATTCATGGACTTGATGAGACCCAACCAGGTCGAAACTACTGTCCAGTGCTTTCTATTTTTTCGGTTCATGCCTCATTTACACGACCAATTCATCACAGTTAATCAGTGTTGCTGTTATCGGCTGTTCGCAAACAACCTCGACGAGACAAACCCAAGGGG